TCCCAAGCAAGAGTTATAATTAATTAGATAATTAATACCAAGGGGATGGAGAGATTGAGGATGAACTTAAGGTGAAATCGCCATCCCTCACTCCTTCCTTCCCTCTATCCCAAAGTGCAAATATTCTCACCGGTAAGTTTAGCGAAGATAAAAGATATGGTGTCATCGCAACAAAACTTTCTTCCCATTGAATGAGTGGTCAATTCTGTCTGTGTCGGCCTAAATCGCTTGGAGACCTATCCCCATTCCTAATGAACAACTGCAAATGCAATACGCCATATACACAAAAGTACAAAGACACCAGGCATAGATGTTTTAGGCGGAAGGATTGTCTTAAAAATATGGAGTGAGTAGCTAGTGGATTGCTTGAGCATCCCCAGTGGTATGTTCGTTACTTAAACGTTTGGCGACAGAAGCTGATTTCGAAAAACAAGTTGGTTTTTGGTCGGTCGGTCAGTCGGATTCGCAGTTTGTGAAGCTGGATTTCACCCATTGTTAACCTATACGACACCAAATTTCCTAGCAGAGTCTCCCACGGCTTTTGTCTCTTAGCTAATGTCGGTGTACTCGGCGCGTTTCGTCACTTGTGCTAGACATTACACTATTGGAGGCTGTTGGTAGACTTGATGGTCTGAAATTGTTTTACTCACTCCCCGATTTTCTTCAATGATTGAGCGTCATTCAAAGCAATGTTACAAGCACTACTTTTCATAAAATAATTCTACACTGTTTACTCTGCTGCTCCATACCACTCCTCAAATACTCTGCAGCACCAATTTTATGAGAACTATGGAATTGTATTAAATTTGGTACATCAAAACCTTCGGTCATTTTTAAAATGGAATTTTACAAGGATATCGTTTCGCATTTACAACTCACGACAGCAAATTGATAACGAAGACTATACGGGAGGTTTCCTCATCTGCTACATAAGTAAATGCCTTAAGACTCCACTTCGTTCGCTTTAGTCGTAAATTAACGAAAATCGGAAGACGAAAGAAAGACTTTTTTCTCCATTTAAAATGATTTGGACATAACCAGATCCATATTAAAGAATAAAATTAACAAAAAACTTTGAATTTCGATTAATATTCTTGTAACACCTGCAACCAATTTATTTTTGAATATGAGAAGGAAATCCGAAGGATTAAATGCAAGATTTATACTTGCTTGGTAAGTTGAGAGTTGCTTAGAGCCTTCTAGTTCAATTGCTGTGAAAATAACGAAAATAGAATATGCAACAGATGTAAGCCTCCGAATACATGCAGATCACCTGAAGCTCTCCTGCTTTTTTCCTTGGTCATGCAGGCGGCGTGGAATGGCGGACTACCATTAGCGCACAAAAGGGCTAAGAGGCTTATGGCATGGCCAAAAGGACCCATTCTTCTTTTGGCAGCACCCTCCATTGTCGGCCATTACTTTGTAATCGGTGCCATGAAAACAATCCACGAGCCATGAGTGGCAGCCATTAAATCTTCATTGTCCCACACTACCTATCTAAATTCCACCCCACTACACGAGAAGGTACCGTTTGTTCACGTCATTTATTTATCCTCTTTGAAGTCCTGTGGTCCGAGCCATAAGGGGTGTCATCAAATCGTTTATGTTCAGTATCGCTTCATTTTTAGCTGCAATTGGAATAACTGCTAAAAGTGGATGTGGTTTCGATTTTTTCGTATTTAGATAGGATTCAGTTACCTCGCTTAGTAGTATGACGCCCTGAGTCTGGCCTGAAGCCGTAGCAAAGCTTATCAGGATGGGGTAGAAGTTTTTATCAACTCATGGCAAGGCTGGAAAGGTAGTAGCAATAGCCGTACCATTAATTGTGAATTACAAAATCCGGGGATTGAAAAGTCGGAATTATTTCCCTTACATATACGATAGTGCTTTATTGGTGATAGGCAGCCTTAAGCAGTGCAAATCAGTTTAAAACTATCAAGAAAGTAAGGAAAAGGAACAATTAAATAATAGCTTTAGGAAAGTGTGATTTCGAAGCGTATGACAACGTGCATTTGGAGGGATGACAATGCAAGGATTGCCTTCGTCCATTCTGTGCTCTAGGGAAATCGTTATGGTCAAGGATGAAGAGCTTTCGTGTTATGTATATATATATATATTATATATATGTATGTGTGTGTATCTGACGAAAACTTTTTACCAGATTTTGATCCGATTCCAAGGAGTCCCATTAGGGCACTGGGCAGCGAGTACGGCCGGAAGGCCATGGTACCAAGACGGATGCACAATCAACGAAGCCTAATTAGTCTCTGTTTTCAAAATTTTCACGCTATTTTCCGTACCTGTTTGTAATTTGAAGTTGTAGGGAGATTTGCTTATTTTTGTAATGTCAATTAGTCAACCATTTAAATCAATGTAAAAGAGTGATCGGAGGTACTATATGAATGAACAAGCCAGATTGCTGATTTAAAGAGGTATCAGGAGAAACTTAAGCTAGTTTTTCGGCAGCCTAAGTCTTTTGTAGGTTGGATTCGTTTTGTTGTCTTTTCCGACAAAAAAGGACTGTCAATTAAGTCCCTATTAGTACCGCTTAGTTAATTACACATAAGAAAATTTAGTTCTGCCTTAATACAAAAGATAGAATTTTAATGGATTTAAACAGTAAAAGTTAAAATTTGAGACTGTAACACCTCAAGTGTTTGTGGGAGACAAAAGAAGTCGTAATACGGGGGAAACGTATTCCCGACGTACGGAAGGACCGGAGGGCTACCGGCATGGTCTAGAGGTCATGCTGCCCAGTGGAGGTACCATCGCGGCACCTTAAATGCCCTAGAAACCATAATGAGGAATTAAACGAACAATTGAAGTACTACATGGCTCTTCTCTCCTTTTGGATGTCATCTTCTACGCCCTCCTTTGTCAATCTTCGGCGTCGGCTATCACAACATAGTCAGTGTTGTAAGAAAAACACCCACAACTGTTTTTCACTCTGTTCAGGAACCCTCTTGGGGAAAGAAAAATGTGGTAGCCACCCAGTATGATCATTCCTGGTCGTAAAGACACTGGCCTAAGCGATAGAGTCAATTAATAAGAGACAATGTTTAAAATAGTTTTATAGGGGTTCGATTTTGCACCCATTCCTCCTTGGCACTTTTTCTCACTTCAGTGATGCCCACCCAAATCTATCTGGATTCTATCTAGCTAGAAAAAACTTGAAGGGATTTCATTTGTCTACCTAACTAAAAATTTTAAACGGAAACCGTAGACAGTTCCATAACAAACTTTTCTAGATGATTCACAGCCACGAATAGTGGGGATTCAGTTGCTAATGGCTTTCTTGCGGAGCACGGTAGCGGGGTAGTTGCTGAAGGCGGACGTCATTTTTAACCCTTCTATTAGGGATAGTCACAAATTCTCCCATCTTCGACGCACAACCTTCTTCTGGCACACCAAGGTCTCGCATTAAGTAGGCTAAACCAAGGCATTTGCCCAATATGATCGGGTACGCTCTCCATTGCCACCGATGTAGAGCCCCGAGTTTACCTTGAAGTCGGAAGAAGTCACAATACTAGTGAAGGAAATGCATTTCTGACACTCAGGAGGGCTAGGTAGCTACCAACATAATCCAAAGGCCATGCCGCTCAGTGGAAGTGCAAAGGTGGAGCTTTGAGCGCTCGCAAAATCAAAATGGAGATTTAAACAAGTAAATAACATATTTGAAGATAAACAACTACTCGAACTCCTTTACTCAATGCCGCTAGAATTGGTTTACGGAATGATGAACTCGTGAAGTATTAAAGGCATCTCAATTACAAGTTACTAGACTTTAAAATGTGCTGCAGATATGTAATGAAACAAAAAAGCTGTTCACTTTGTCACAGTGGTATCTTCTCCAGATGCTAGATTGTGTGGCCCCCCACCCCAGTCTTTCCTAAAGTCGCAAGAAGTCACTGCTTTATGGCAGAAAATCGTGGAATCGTGGCGCGATTTTGCTGGCAGCGGTAAGTAAACACTATCCCATTGAAGAAGAACTTTGGTTTCGTTCCCCAAAACTTAACATCATCGAAGGAATACATCTGCTGTAGACGGTTGAATCTTAACACCCTCAGAAGATGGGCTGCTAAAGCCACGCCCACTTTTAACAACCGCCAAATGAAGCACCGCTAAGTGCGAATGATGCGAAAATGCCGCTTACGGAGATTTGTGCGGTAAGTATATGCAAACAAAGTGAATTACGTGGACAACCGATACCTCCTCCACATCTCTAGTGGTTGATCGGTACCTTAATTCGACGCCCGAGCTTATGGACCTTACAAGTGACTCCTTTTCTTTGGTAAATATCTCTACGAATGACGACTGCCCTCTTAAATGTGCACACTTAAGTGTTAAAACAAGTGTCAAAACATCAACCTGTTGTCCGATCAAATCAAAGATCTTGTTTATATGAACACATTACTACACTGGTGGATTAATCAAACCCCACAAATGCTAAGGAATTTTGACTAGTTAACGCCCCGCGAAATCTAGACCGTAACCATCACCCACTTACTTTAAAGGACCATCAAATACCTATTTAATGGCTGTGAAGGCTCTAATTCTTTCATATGTACACACGAGTCCATCGTATAGGGCTTGCATGTTGAAGTCCATTTGCTGAATGGCCTTTAGCAAAGAACCCCAAAGGTACAAATGTGCTGAAATACCAATACAAATCGTTACAAAGAGTCAAGATGGCGAAGTCCATATTTTTGGGAAAGGGCATTTTAAAAAATTCTTCAAAAGAACTATATTTGGAATGGATAAAGCATGGCATTTCCATATGTACTGACAGCTTTAACTTGCTGTAAACAGGAAATAGATCAACGCGTTGGCATATCAACAAGCTCGGAAAAAAGTCTAAGCGCTAGCATGCAAAATTAGAAGTTTTCTCGAAATCACTTTGGTATTTATCATTCCACTTCGGCAGATAAGTGCGAGACATGGGATGTAGGAGGGGAGGGGGGGGGAAATTTTGAGTGAAATGAGATGAGACGTCAGACTGATTATAAGTACTGAAAGAGAATAGGCGAGTCTTCGAGACCACAATAGTGAATCAAATCGGAAGTAGATGATTCAGGTACTGCTTGCCTTCCTATTCCCGCACTTCTACTACTTAGACGACGAATCTAAAAAAGTAAATGAAGAGAATTAGATTACCAAAGGTGGTAAATAGGAGGGAGGTTCGAGTACAAACGGAACTTCCCATTTTAACACCCAAGGGGATAAGTGCTACTGTGGTAGAAATACGCACAGTAGTAAGTGTCAAGTGCTTCCCATCAATCATAGCCACCATGTATGCGGGTGAGGCAGTCCAATCCAAACAACCTTAATCAAGATGGCAGTCGGCGGTGGTGGTAAGTGGGTGTAGAGAACATCGTGGGATGGTAAACAAAGTTCCCTTTTTTTGAATTAACCAATGTCCTCCCGCACACAGGAGACTTCATTACTAGTAGAATGTTGAACTGATCAAAATAATTCGATGTGGTGAGTTCTAGCTCATCTTCACAATACTCATTAAACTGAACATCGTGGACATCGGATCAACGGAGAGGGTAGAAGAGACAAATCTACCCAGTGAACAATCTCCTAATATTAGAATTTGTACCTTTGAGGAGATTACCTCGGAGGTGAGCATTTCACCACCGATAACGAAGCAAAGTCACAATACGAAATCCTTGCATTTCAGAAGCTTTGGAGACATTGGTTAAGGGCTGAGGTGTGGGGGAAGGAGAGTAGATGGAAAAATAAAAGCAAGTCGCACTTGTTTTTTTTTTTCCTTTTCGGTTCTGAACCCAAAAGTCCTGCTCTTACTTGACCATTCCTCATCCTAATCTATGAGATGAAATGTGGCAGAGTAGACTCGCTACCCTGCATCGGAGATGAATTACTTGATTAAAATGACGTTGACTGAAAATGTCTCATGACTTTTTTTAAGTATAATATACTTAAATGCGATGTGATCTTTCGCTTAGTATTTTTTTTCAAATAAGGATTTAGGAATAAACAGTAGGCCTTACTGGCTACCTTCCTCGCTTCATTGCAAATAATTCACAAAAATTGTCAAAATAACATTACATTGTTTGTAGGGGAAAAAGTAAGTGGAAATTCACATAAAAAAGGTGTCAGCGGAATTTGAATGGTCCTCATTACAAAAATAAAAAGAGCACTGTTTTCTGGGGAAAAAGGAATAGTTCAAGTAGGCATTAGGTAAAATGAATATTTAACTCATTGCAGATGGGACTTGTTCCACTTCTCGGCGTCATATACGATTTTGATAACTTGAACATTGATAAGCTACTTTACGGAATTATTTTTCTCGGATTTTCCGCGTTTTTTCCCCGAGTCATTTGTTAGGAAATAATTAGAAGAGACGGAAAAAATGATGTAGAACTTCGTGAAATACACCAATATAAAAAGGCCTCCTGTAACAATTTACCAAATGCATCGTAGTCAAAGCCATCAAAAGGGATGACGTGGCCTCGCGTGATTGGTAGCGCCCCTCGGTGGCGAATTTTCGACTGGTCCAGCGGTGGAAGTCCTCGAAGTAGAAGACCGATTCCAGCGTCTTATCGGGCAAACTAAATGTCAGCAGACGGGAAGAAATTATTTAAGGGTGAAAAAGGATGGTCTTTAATCCATTACTATCAGGTGCACATCCAGTCAGAGTAGAACAATACCGCGCTTGTACAGAAGAACTCGGTATTCTAAGGGAAGAATTCTGGTAACTACGCAACACCAGTCTTTGGAAAACTATAGTCGCTAATGAAAAGAATCTCTGTTAATTCAACGCTTTTATGGTTCAAGGTGAAGAAAAAGATGTAGATATTTGTTCTGGTTCATGCAAATGCTCGAGTCGTGATAACGGTCGTATAGGAGCAGGACCTCAACTTACGTATCATCGTATTGCGTCAACTGCTAGAGTGATGGTGAGACACTGTTTTACATAAAACATTTAGGCTTTTGCTTGGAGTATAGTGCGCTCGCACTCGTTTGACTTGAAAACTATCCCTGAATAAGTCGCCGACTAGGCGTGTGTTTGCACAGTTTCGAGTACTTGTAAATACAAAAAACCCATTCGGAGATGCAGTTCGGTGATGCATAGCAAATAACTGCATGATTTAAAAAGGTCAAAGTCCGAGAAACTAATGTAACTAATTTTCGACGTAAAAATCGCTTATTCGCACTTGTGAATATATGATGGATAGGGATTTTATGACTATTTGGTAAAGCAGGCTACAGTGACGATAAGACGAGCGTTAATAAGTGTGAGATACATGTACTACTAGACGCTAATATCCAGTGCGACCCCGATGTCAGGCAACGGTGGTAGTGAGTGCGCGTAAGCAACAGCAGGTAATGGTGGAAGTGTCTTGTTAACAAAGATCCCAAATCCGAAGGCATGCACGCCCATTTGTGGTATTTCCCCCCTCCCCCCCCCAGCCTCAGCAGCCGCTCCTGTCAAAATTCAGTCTGATTCCGGACATCTGATCTACGCGCAATCTGTTGTGAAATTGGACAAGGGAAAGATCTTTCTGTGACAACGGTGAGGACAACAATCATAGATGAAACCCTACAATCTTGAGGAGTTAGCGCATGCTGGGTACCAAGACAGCTTTCCCCTTTTGGCTAGCACAGAAGAGTTGAATTTTGCGCCAAGTGGAAGAGGCACTTTGGCACAGAAAGGTCAGGGTTGTTTAGATCACATTATTATTATTATTATTAAAAATCGAGTATCATGGCGATGGGAGAATGTAGAGATCAGCACTGCAGCACTGATGACGAAGCGAACCAAGATCTTCTAGGTTTGCTCAGACACAACGACAAGCCTTTCCGTGCCAGAGCTCATTCTCAGGTAATATCGGCCAGACGCCGGGATAAGTATATACATCCACATAGTAAAGCAAACTCGGTTTTTCACTACCGAAGTCTACCTTTTTTGCACAAAACACCATACATTTAGACCTTCTTCGGTCAAATAATTCCAAGCATCATCCTTACAGAGACGAGATTAAACTGACCTTGACAGAAAGAAAACAGTTTCCTTTACTTAGCATTTAACCTTGAGGAGATCTAAATAAACACTCTAGTTCCCATTTCGGACAAAGATTCTCAAAGAGAAAAATAATTTGCAATTTCCCCTTCATTCTTCTTCAGAATGGTTATCTTTTTTTAGAAGAGCACAGGGAGTTACTAAAACCTAGTTTCTTGTGCAGAAAATGGAAAAATTTAAATGAAACGAACTTAATCAAACTGAGTTTTGCAGTTACTTTGCTTGGAACAAAAGTGCAAATCCCCCATTTTTTTCTCCTTCAAAACGGACAGCATGGCAACTGTGACAGTCATGGTTGAGATAGAGTGCGATGATAGCATTGTGACATTGAATAAGCTTCTGCATTTCAGCACGAAACAGACAAAATGAAAAAGCAAAGGCATGGAAAATGTTTTTAACAAAAAAGGGCCTTTCATAAAATTTCACCTGCTTAAAGTAGTTAAATTTCAGCAGAGGGAAATTGAAAGACACTAGACTTTTCAAATCCATGACTCTGAAAACACAGCCAACTCTAAAGACTCATAATTTTCTGCCTCAGTTTTGAAACATTCCACTCTTGTGAACAAACAAAAGTGAAGCAGAATCGACTGCCGGGGGTTAATGGATCAGGAAAAGCGCTCGCTAAGGCACTGCTCATCGGGAATAAGCCAATTTATTTATTAAAATGCCGTAAAATATTTCCCATAAGAGGAGACTAGGGGTAAAACCAACGCTAAGTGGAGAAAGAGGGTTGGGTTTTTCGGTTTGAGTCAAACTTCAGGGTTGTAAATATCTAACCAGAGACCATGGTGAGAACCATGGTTCCACCAAGTACTTCAGGCGTGTTGGGCAAATGAGGAAATACTTAAGATCAACCGAATGTAAAGAAATTCAGCTACTCATTTGAAGGTATAGTTATTAAGTGTACTTTAAAAATAATCAGTCTTATACTAAATACCCTGTGCTTAATAAATGCAGAGGCAGTTTGGGCTCAAAGGCCGTAATTCGCAAAGCAACCTGTGGTAAAGATGCAGAAGGAATAAGGGCATTTACAGTGAATGGCTGAGTTTGTGAAGGCTGAGATCATAATGAGACTACGAAACCGTTGGCGAATTTTGGCAATTAGCTGGATATTGTTTCGATCATGACAACCAGTAATGCTGAAAAGCGGAATTTGAAAGTCAGGATTTTGGATACATACTTGCAAGATTGACCTAGCACCTCTTCATACTGCTGAAAGTTGAAGGCAATCTAGATAGGCAGAACCCTACTAAAGCTTTAGCATCCCATGGCGAATGAATCTGGATTGTCTTTAGAACCAAGGGCCTCCCCGTGGCAGCATTCGTTTTAG